TTATCCCCTGCCCGACTGTTCACAAACTCGTCGGCCAACTGGCCTGCGTGCTGCGGGTTCTCTGGCTTTTGGTCCACCAACCATCGCCTCAGGTCGGATGGGCACTGCTCATACACGTGCTCCAGTACGACTAGGTCAAGTAGGTCCTCTATAGTTTGGGCCCCAGCCGTCCACTTGCGGGCATACCCCTGCGCCCGGTTGGCTAGTTGCAGGTATGTGACCTCACGGGTTTTACGCTGATTCCAGAACCTTTTCCGGTACATCTCAGGAGTCAGCCAAAACTCGCGGAGCAGGGCCTTTTTGAACAGTTCGTAGTCCCCTGTCTCCACCCCTTTCAGTCGGCTGTACACCTCCCTAGCTGTGGGGTCCAGTGAGGGAATGAGAAACTGGAGCCTGTCTGCAGGGTCAACCTGGAGCAGCTCGCAGGTATTCTCAAAGGCCGTCAGGAAGGTATCCATGTCCTCCCCCTCCTTACGCTGGGCCAGGAAGCACTTATCAAAGCTCTTTGCCGTCTTGGGTCCCCCCTCGCTCACCGCAGCTGGGGCCCCACTGCTCCTCAGCCTGGCCAGTTCCAGTTCATGCTGCCTCTGTCTCTCTCGTTGTGCTCGTTGGGCTCGCTCCTTCATCAGTTCCTGCTGCCTCAACTCCAGCTCTCTCAGTTCTAGCTCCTTCTCCCATTCCAGCTGCTTCAGCTCCAGCGATGGGGGGCTCCACCAGGAGGATCCCCTGCTGGCCGGGGGGGTCACGGCGCCCTCGGTATTCGCTGGGCTCCTCCCAGCCCTTCCCCTAGGCATAGGAATGGGGGGTCTCGGGAAGCCCTCAGCAGCCGGCTGACCACTCCCAGCTGGGACAGACACTGGTGCCTGTGGAGCATCTGCCGGGCTGCTTCCCTCAGACACAGGGATCAGTTCATTCGCGCGATCTCCCTCCTCCAGCTGGGCAATGAGCTGTTCTTTGGTGGACCTCCCAATGCGCAGCCCCCTCTGCCTGCACAGCGCCACCAGGTCGCTCTTAAGGCGCTTGTTATACATCTTCCTGCTGGTCACACACTCCCAGGGGTTAAGCGTAGCTCCTCCATCCCCCAAAACCGCTCCTCTCTGAATCTTCAGCACGCCTGGTCCCTGTCAATCCCGCTTCATTTTACTGCTCCCCAGTCACTTACTGCAGGAAGCGCCATCCACGAGGTGCAGTAGATCCCACCACTGCCACCAGTTGTCACGGAGTGTGGGGGAGTCAGGGCCCCGCACCCCCGGCGTCCTGCGATTCACCGTGACTCTCAGCCAGCCAGTAAAGCAGAAGGTTTATTTAGACGACAGGAACACAGTCCAAGACAGGTCTTGCAGGGACAGACAACAGGACCCCTCAGTCAGGTCCATCTTGGGTGGTCAGGGAGGCCAGAGCCCCATCTGGGCTCCCCTCCATTTTCCCAGCCAGCTCCCAACTGAAACTCCCTCCAGCGTCTCACTCAGCCTCCCCCCGGCTCCTCCCCCAGCCTTTGTCCATTTCCCAGGCAAAGGTGTCACCTGGCTGCATCCCCCTTCTGGGTTCTCATGTTACGTGCTCAGGTATCCTTCCTCAAGGACAGCTGGATCGATGTGTCTTGGGCAGGTTAAGTGAATGGATAGCTCTGTATGGGGATGGATGGATGGACGGATGGATAGAGGGTGTGTAGATGGATAGATGGGTGTGTGTTGAGACGGATGGAGGGATAGCTGTGTATGGGAATGGATGGATG